TAATTAACGGGTGATACACTGATACCGGCCGTAAAATATTTGTTCCAGGACCGTTGACGAATCCAACTCGGCGCGCGTCCTGGTAGGTTATAAACCTACAAATTCTTAATTGACGATGTCAATTCATCGCAGCTTGGCGAGGCCCAGCTAGTAGCACATTTTGCCGATCTAGCGAGATTGTCGCGCGTTTCGAGAAGCATAATTGAGTGCGCGGCGTGGCATGCACAGTAACGCATCGCGCTACAAATCTGATCCCAACCCTAACCCTAACCCAATCCTTTACAAAAGCATAATATGCTGAGACCCTAACCCCAACGAGAAATAAAACAAACTTCCTTATACGGTCATATCACGTGATAGAGAAAGTTTTTTACCTCTATGTCATGGGGGGTGATCCGGAATCAGCGTCCGAAAATACAGCAATTGAAGTTGGTTTCAACTGTCGGGGGCCCTTTTAGTCTTGAACAGTACAGTGATTTAGCACGCCCGCTACACTGTTGACTGTACTCTTGTCGAGCTGTACATAGATAGGAGTATATTTTATTTTTGATATAAAAGTAAAGTGCTAATAAAATAAAACTCAATATTCAATGTAACTTTTTAAAATTATGGTCACTCAACGAACAAATACCTTTCATTTAAGACAAGTATCATTAACATATGGTTTTTAAAGCTTCGGTTAATAAAAAGTATAAACGTCTGTTGTACTTATTCGTTTATTCCCCCTTGGCCTTCTTACCCTTCTTCTGGGGATCAGCTGATCGTCTTCCAAAATCAACAAATTCTTCCCCGTTCTGCTGGGGATCAGCTGATCGTCTTCCAAAATCAACAAATTCTTCCCCGTTCTGCTGGGGATCAGCTGATCGTCTTCCAAAATCAACAAATTCTTCCCCGTTCTCCTGGGGATCAGCTGATCGTCTTCCCATAAATGGAGTCTGACACTGAGTCAGAGCGATCAGTCCTAGCACTAGTAGAAAACAGAATACTTTCGTCATTGCTGCGGGTCTGGTGTTTTTTTAGATAAAAACAATAAAATACGAATATGACAATACTTAAATAGTTCAACGTTTTTTTACAAATATCAATCGATATCAGATAAAAATGAAAATAAGATTTAAAAAGACTGAAACCTGGTAAAAGGAACAGGACTGAAAGTTAAAGCCCTGATACTGATAGTCGTTCAAAGGTAGATCAAAATATTTTATTCTATTGTTAAAGATGAAAAGGAAAGAAGGAACCAGCTGCTAAAATTGAACGCTGGAAAAAACCCGGAAATCGACATATTTAGGTGTCTAAAAACCATTGTAATAGAGATCTAAAATTGTTTTGTATCACATCGTGACCCTCACGGTAAAACTAGTAGTTTCACTGTAGAGTTTGAACGATACAAGGGGAGCCGCGCACTAGTGCACGGCGGGTCATACAACGTATGACAAAAATTGTTTGGAAGAAGACCTCAGTATTAACAATTAATGAAAAATACCAGACTCTAATTTTGTTCACGATAGTTATCGTAAATCAAAAAAGGGAGCGGGTGCCTTAAATGGATACAGTCTGGGTGAGACTGAGAGTCATGAAATTATAATCATTCGTTGAAATATCGTCCCAGAGTCTTAAGGGGGGGGGGGGGGGTTCACCCTGATTTTGTTGTGAAACTTGGTTTCGAGATAGCAGTTGACCAACAAAATAGGACCGGTGACCGAACTTTTGAGGGGGTCCCGGACCCCAACCGCCAAACGGTGCCCGCGGGGCAGCCACACCCATATTTGGTCCAAATTATGCACAATTATCTGAACATGCCCAAAACCCAGATTTTATGTGCTCTACTACTATTAGTAGCTAGTGGTCCCTTGAAATCGTATATGAATTTTCATCAAGATTGGACAAAAAATGACTCCTATCGAACCATTTAAATTTGAAGTCCTCAAAGTATGTAAGGATTATGCAGACCGAATGATCTGGCAATCACTGTATATCAAGCAGTTACTTCCTAAAATAAACACTCAGCTCTCACCTGAAGCAGACTCGTGGCAAAAGACCACATGGGCTATTATGTAAATGTCATCAAAATATATGTACGTGGCACCCTTTCAGTTTCCCCGAAAATGTTAGGGAGTAGGAAGCTATTTTCGTTGCTGTTCTGTGTACGTTGGTCTAGCTCTCAAATATTGGACAGTTCTAGATTCTTTGGCCTAACATCTATCTTTTGCTTTAAAATTTTCTACCGCTTAGAATCTTCCCATTTATTTTTAATGTTTCTCAGAGTTTTATGTATTAATTTGGATATTTATCAGGTCACTATGTAACAAAGTTTTTGTTCCGCCTTGAAGAAGCCATGGGGGCGAAACGTCGGCAATAACGTGTGTTATTTGTATTCAATTCAGAGGAGATTAGCCAATTTCAATCTAAACTCATAATGATAGACCCTCTGACAAGGTAGTAGTTGATTCACGATGTCAATCCTTCGCAGCTCGGTGAGGCACAGTGGTGCATCTCGCCGATCTACCGAGAAGCATTATTTGATGCGCGCGCGACCCAGTAGTGCATCGCGCTACAAGGTAGTAGAGGCTCTTACGGGCAAAAAGACGTGTTTTCTGCTACGAGTTTAGAGACCTAACCGCTAATTGGACACAATAGTATGATGTCTAAGGATTGATAATATGTTAAGAAGTATAAATTTGGCCTTATTAGTCACGTGCTATACCAATGCGCGTTTTAAACTTTGACAGTCTATTACTCTAAGGCAAATAGAGTAATTATATTCATATTTTGTCAGCAATAAAATCACATTATTTTCTATTTGGTGTGAAAATATAAGCTAGAACGGACATAATCTCGCTGAGTTATAGCTGTTTGAAATTTATGATGAACGCGCAGGAGCCAATTGATAACAACTAAATGCTTTTGCGCGTAGTGCGCGTCGAACATTTGGCAAAAACGCTTGCGGAGTGACAATATTCAAACTTTGATAAAGTATATGAAGTGGGTACTTCTCGGAAAGGAAAAATTTAGGCAAACACGATGTGACTATTTTTGGGTTGATTTAATACACCTGCAAAAAATTATTCAAACTTCAAACAAAAAAGTCAAAATTTTTACCACTTTTTTGGATTTTTACCCCCAAAAAAATAGAGGGATTTTTCAAATTTTTATATCATCTTGTGCGGCTGTGTTTTAGCTATCTCCATGCAAGTTTTGCCGACATGCCAACAAAATTAACTTGTTCAAAATATCAAAAAACATAGTTTTTTGGCCTATTTTTTGCCCAAAAATCGGTTTTTTGCAATTTTACCCCCAAAAAGTCAGTCAAATCATCTTTAAACTTGTATCACGCGGTGACCCCCACTGCCGCTTCACTATAGTGGGTGTCATCCGAATTGCGAGATTCGCGAGAAATCTCAGGTGCAACTGTACGAGAAGAACTCGCGTGCGCGAGATGATAGATTCAATACTTAATTGTTACCGCGTGTACGGTAGAGTCACATTTAGAAGGTTCTAGACTATTTGACGTTGTATGTTGACTTCTTCGATGATGTGATCACAATTAACAGAAAAGCTTAACCCCCAACTATTCACAATTTTTGAACTTGCAACTCTCTCTCTATTTTATTCTTACTTGCTTACTTGGGGACCCCGGGCTTTGGTGTTTAGTGTCTGAACACGTAAGTCCCGGTATTGAATTTGAGACAGGAAAGCATTTTACAAATTAGAATTAGAATTAGAGTCAAATTTAAACAGCAATATAATAGAAATAGTAAATAAATTAAAAATGCTTCGATCTGCTGTGCAGGACATCAAAATTAGTATTTTAATCAGAAAACATATTCCAAATTAAATCAGTAAAGCCATAATTTTAGTCACAATCAACAATATTTACAGAATGGACCACATATAATTAAAACTTGTACAATTGGTATCCTGGAGATGATAGATAACACAACTAAAATTCATCTGCATCATAAATTAATGAAAATATACGGATGCCTCAGCGCTTCAAATGTCAAAGAACTAAATTTTGCAGTAGTTTTAAAGTAAATATTTGGTTCCATATCAGGTATCAACTATTAAAGGGCATGCTAACAGGAAAATATACTGATATCAGACTGTTTCCGGTTCAACAGCCAAATCTCTAGACGGGTACTCAGATTACTAGTCGTTTGTGATAAAATAAAGTGTGGTATGTGGTAGATATTTATCTATATAGCATACTGTAAATCTAGATCTTTAAAACGAAGTAAGAGTTACCACGTTAGTCTTTTATCTCTCAGTTAAGTCTAAAATTCTGCTAATAATTGACCTTTTTTACCGACACGTTCTTACCAAAACAATTTAAATATACCCAACTACCATCTAGCTTACTCATAGAACACAACTCTGTATACTTTAAGTGGCCCTAACATTCAACCAAGGCAGAACATAGCTTAAGGACAAAACATCTGATACTCTTAACTTCAGACATCTTCTCTATAGCCTCTTTTCTAATAACAGAACAATCGTCAGGTAACATGGCAATTAGAATGTTATGGGAATGTGCAAAGTAAGAATTATTTCCTAAAACAAATTTCCCTGTGAACTTTACCCGAAACGTGTTTCCTGACCAATGTTACTTCCTCAAACAAGCTAACTATACCATAAATAACTGAGCTTTTATACTTGAAATTCAAATGAAGCGGTAAGTAAATATTGATAATATAACTAACTAATTTCCTTAGTTTACACACACAGTCATAGGTCCCAACCCAGCTTCTTCACGGTGTTTCTATCCAGGGGCTTGAATGTATGTCCCTAGAGAAGACATAAATGTCTCGTTGACTTAACGGTTGTCCTGAGAAGATTTCCGATATCGTGGGTAAACGAGTTGGGGCCGGATTTCTCTCCATCAAATGCAATGAATAAGTGTCTGAATGGCAGCTCTACCCTGCGAAGGCAGCAAATACATCTTTGCAATTCCCGTCCAATATTCTTCTCCAAGAAGGCAGTCATTAAGGCAACGACCAGATGGCTGCGCTACAAGGGTCGTGTGTTCCTCAGTAACCTTCTGTCTAATCTTGTGTTGATCCAAGGCTAACGTACCTGGTTAGATAAACATTTTTACATCATTTACCTTTTTATATCAAGCAACTAAAAAAGTAATGAGTTATCAAAATCTTATACCTAAAATCCCATTTAATCGATAGGCTTGGATATTCGACTCGAAATCCCATATTTATTTTAAAAGCGTTTAGTTGCCAAAAAAGAAAGATCTATGAAATCAATAAAAAAAGCATTATACCTTTATCCTTTTTCCTGTCAAAGTAGAGCGACTCCACTGTCAGATTCCAAGGCTATTCTAACGCATTCTCTTTAGATCGCTGCACAATTCCTCTCACCTTCTTTACTGTAAACTGCTTGTCAAACTCCATAAACTCGTTATATTTACAGGTAAGTCTAGCGCATACTTTGTTATTTACCCTGTGCACAGCTATCAAGGGTGCCAACCCGTCAAGATTGTCTATATTGTATCTTCTCTTCTTAGCAGAAGGGGTTCTAAAAGGAGTTCGAAGGAGTTCTTTTCGAGGTGGAGGTTCAGACGAGGGTTGAGGTTATGCTGGATGTTGAGGTTCTGCTGTAGGTTCAAATGGGAATACTTTTATGAAGTTAGATCCAGGAAACAATCATCGGATTTCTACAGTCTCCTGAAATATGTTATGTCACATTAGATGATACGGAAAGACACTGTAACGGGCAATCTATGATTTGTTCAAGCATACCCAAAAGGATTTCTTTCATAATAGTAGCTTATTAAAAACACAACATTAAGATTTATTTTAAAATCAACCTAAAACCACATGGCTCAGCAACAATTTCACCAAGTGTAGATCGATCAACATAGCATGTGATGATGTGACAAGTCGCCCCACGAAAAACCTCACCGAACCTCCACGCGGTGTTGGGTGGGTGGCTCGAACGGGAGGTACATGGGTGTTTCTAACCTATGCATAGGAAGGGACTAGCCATCTCTACAACAAAGGAAAGGCTCTAATAGCCTCTACTAACCTCAGAACCGCAGCATAACCACTTTTACCACAGGCAAATAACACCTTCCGCAGGAAACCAACAGGCTCACAAGCTCCCACATGACGTGTAACCCCGGCCCAGCATTTGGTTTTGGATCGGACACTCAAAACAACGATAGAGGAGCGGTCTACACGCTCACAGGCTACTACGTCTCGTGTATAACCCCAGGATTTAACACGCTCACAGGCTACCACGTCTCGTGTAACCCTAGGATTTAACACGCTTACAGGCTACCACGTCTCATGTAACACTAGGACTCTAACACTTGACAGACTCTAACACGCTCACAGGCTTCCACGTCTCGTGTACCCTAGGATTCGGTTTTGGATCGGACACTCAAAACAACGATAGAGGAGCGGTCTACACGCTCACAGGCTACCATGTCTCGTGTAACCCCAGGATTTAACACGCTCACAGGCTACCACGTCTCGTGTAACTCTAGGACTCTAACACTTAACAGACTCTAACACGCTCACAGGCTTCCACGTCTCGTGTACCCTAGGATTCGGTTTTGGATCGGATACTCAAAACAACGATAGAGGAGCGGTCTACACGCTCACAGGCTACCATGTCTCGTGTAACCCCAGGATTTAGCACGCTCACAGGCTACCACGTCTCGTGTACCCTAGGATTTGGTTTTGGATCGGACACTCAAAACAACGATAAAGGAGCGGTCTACACGCTCACAGGCTACCATGTCTCGTGTAACCCCAGGATTTGACTCGCTCACAGGCTTCCAAGTCTTGTGTAACTCCAGGATTTAGTTTAGATTTTTCACTCAAAAATCGAAAGAGGAGCGGTCTACAGTGACGTTACATGAGCATTGCATACTCCTACGAGTTGCACGTAGCAGGCCATGACCTCCCCTGGAAGTCCCTGTCTCTCTGTCGTTAACCCGGCGGGGTTGCACCAAGGGCGGTGGTAACAGAACTTCAAGACTCTCGGAGTCTGTTGTCGATATCTATGTTTAATATAGGGGGGGGGGGGGGGGGGGGTTGACATGTCTCCGATGTCTTTTGTCTTTTTTGAAAAGATAGGGTGCAGAGACATGTCCTGGAGACATTGGAGACAAAGCTTTTGGAGACATTGGAGACACTGGAGACTTAGATGTATGACTGGAAAAGGAGGAGGATCTAGGAGGAGGATGACCCAGGAGGAGGACTCAGGAGGAGAAGGAGGAGGATGAGGACTCAGGAGGAGGACTGAGGAAGAGGACTGAGGAGGACTGAGAAGGAGGAGGACTGAGGAGTACTGAGGAGGATGGCTGAGGAGGATGACTGAGGAGGAGGACCTAGGAGGAGGAGGACCCAGGAGCAGGAGGACCGAGGAGGAGGACTCAGGAGGAGGACTCAGGAAGAGGACTGAGGAGGAAAGAAAATGAGAAGGACTGAGGAGTACTGAGGAGGATGGCTAAGGAGGATGGCCGAGGAGGATGACTGAGAGGGAGGAGGAGGACCTAGGAGGAGGAAGACCCAGAAGGAGGACTCAGGAGGAGGACTCAGGAGGAGGACTCAGGAGGAGAAGGAGGAGGATGAGGACTCAGGAGGAGGACTCAGGAAGAGGACTGAGAAGGAGGAGGACTGAGGAGTACTGAGGAGGATGGCTGAGGAGGATAGCTGAGGAGGATGGCTGTGGAGGATGGTTGAGGAGGATGGCTGAGGAGGATGACTGAGGAGGAGGACCTAGGAGGAGGAGGAGGACCCAGGAGCAGGAGGACCGAGGAGGAGGACTCAGGAGGAGGAGGAGGACTCAGGAGGAGGACTCAGGAAGAGTACTGAGGAGGACAGAGAATGAGGAGGACTGAGGAGTACTGAGGAGGATGGCTGAGGAGGATGACTGAGGAAGATGACTGAGAGGGAGGAGGAGGAGAAGAAGGACTGAGGAGAAGGAGAAGGAGGAGGACTGAGGAGGATGAGGACCCAGGAGGAGGACTGAGGAGGAAGAGGAGGAGGAGGACTCAGGAGGACTGATAAGGAAGAGGACTGAGGAGAACGGAGGAGGAGTACTGAATAGGAGGAGGAGGAGGGGGACTGGGGGCAGGACTGAGGATGAAGAAGACTGACGAGAAGGATGAGGAGGACTGAGGAGGAGGACTGAGGACTGAGGAGGATGAAGAGGAGGAAGACCCAGGAGGAGGAGGACTGAGGAGGACTGAGGAGGAGGATGAGGACTAAGGAGGACTGAGGAGGATGGCTGAAGAGGATGGCCGAGGAGGATGACTGAGAGGGAGGAGGAGGAGGACCTAGGAGGAGGAAGACCCGGAAGGAGGACTCAGGAGGAGGAGGAGAACTCAGGAAGAGGACTGAGGAGGAGGAGGAGGAGGATTGAATAGGAGGAGGAGGAGGGGGACTGGGGAGGACTGAGGAGGAGGAGGACTGACGAGAAGGATGAGGAGGAGAACTGAGGACTAAGGAGGAAGAGGAGGAGGATGAAGAGGAGGAAGAGGACCCAGGAGGAGGAGGACTGAAGAGGAGGATGAGGATAAGGACTGAGGAAGAGGAGGAGGACTGAGGAGGATGACTGAGAGGGAGGAGGAGGAGGACTGAGGAGAAGGACTGAGGAGGAGAAGGAGGAGGACCCAGGAGGAGGACTCAGGAGGAGGAGGAGGAGGACTCAGGAGGAGGACTCAGGATAACTGAGGAGAAGGAGGAGTGAATATGAGGAGAAGGAGGGGGACTGGGGAGGACTGAGGAGGATGGCTGAGGAGGATGGCTGAGGAGGATGACTGAGGAGGATGACTGAGAGGAGGGGGAGGAGGAGGAGGAGAAGGACTGAGGAGGAGGAGGACCTAGGAGTAGGAGGACTCAGGAAGAGGACTCAGGAGGAGGAATGAGAAGGAGGAGGACTGAGGAGAACTGAATAGGAGGAGGAGGGGGACTGGGGGAGACTGAGGAGGAGGTGGACTTGGGGAGGACTGAGGAGGAGGACTGACGAGAAGGATGAGGAGGAGGACTGAGGAGGAGGACTGATGATTGAGGAGGAAGAGGAGGAGGATGAAGAGGAAGAGGAGGACCCAGGAGAAGGACCCAGGAGGAGGAGGAGAATGACTGAGGAGGACTGGAAGGAGAAAGAGGAGGAGGAGGAGTCTCCAAAAGCTGTGTCTCCAATGTCTCCAATGCCCCTAATATTCATTTTATGTCCCTAATGTTCCCAATGTCCCCAATGTCCCCAATGTCTCCAATGTCTCCAATGTCTCCAAAAGCTGTGTCTCTAATGTCCCCAATGTCTCCAATGTCTCCAAAAGCTGTGTCTCCAATGTCTTTGTCTTTTTCGAAAAGATAAGGTGCGGGAGACATTGGAGACATGTCACCCCCCCCCCCCCCAATATATCTATGGTATATAATTTGGGAGTCTCTCTCTCCAGCAGCAGGAGTTGGAGAATGGGGACGCGTTGTGAAAGCCACCAACCAATCAAAAGATTCACCAGATCATGACTGTAAATCACAAGGCTTCGACAAGGCTATAGTAAATAAAAGGTAATGCTTTAGACGATGATAGAAAGTCAAAATTTTGAAACAGTTGCTAGGGGACGGGGGACCCGTTGCGGTTGCTATGGAGTATGATGGGCAATGCAAATAATGACGTAAAAACTTGAAAGAACACGGTGTTCTTTCAAGTTCTTAGAACACCTTTAAACCTTAGAAGTTAGAACTACCAATAACTTTTTACAGAGTGAAGTTTAGACAAATGGATAAAAAGTTATCCAAAAAAAACATCGGCCTCGCTATAATTCATATTTTTGTCGACAAAATAATATGTAAATGTAATGTACGCGCACAGATTGAGATAGTGCTCACGAAAGTTACACTTTGTACAAATTTACTTCGAAAATTACGCGGGAATCCGCCCACGTGTGAGCCCCGCGACGGCCAACCGCACCCTAAGGTATGTGTGTAGAATAAGATAATGTATATAGATTGACATCCTATCGTAGTAATTAAGTAGTGACCTAATTGCGATCATCATGTGTACATCTTGTGATAACATAGTTTTTGGTTTTACTAAAAGCGTTGTTAGCTGATCAGATCGCAAATAACTTATCAATAAAATTCACTTACATGGTAGATTGCAGAGTGCAGACCAAGAACTAGAACATGGACTGCATGTGCGAAGTCTTTTTTTTTCATTATGGTCAGATATCATAACGATGAGTCAAGTGAGGGGATACTTCGACAATATCTTCCTCTCAGTCTCCATTATGGATACCGAACTTTAACCCTTATTCTCGGCTCATTATTAAGTTATTACCGGGCCAAGAGTCAACACGTTACCTGAGTATTGAATTAAATAAGCGCATTGTACTGATTGTAACTCAAGTGATAACTTGTGATAACATACAATATAAACCTTCAAATGCAAAAATTCAACCGTCTGCGACCTTGAAAATGACCTATAGTCAATTTAAATAGACACTTAAAGTCAAATAACTTGCCTGCATATACAGTTTAGAGAATACTGATGTTATCTTGTTACATATTACACTTGATTAGTCCTTGCTATGGAAAATTATAATTAAAAGCAACATTACTAATTGGGTTTAAAAATACCTAATTCAAATAAAATTTAATACAAACTGAGCTCTTTGTTTTAATATCAATGTTCGAGGGCTTAAATGGTAAAGGTACGATCAAATGTTAATTCCACACAAATGGTTTACTGTTATAATAAAGCAAATCGTCGAGTAAACACAGTGTGTAAACAAATATATGAGACATAGTAGAAACACTTAATAACTGGTTTCCTAGCAGCGATGTGATGTAGGTATAATAAGCCCTCACATTCTGTCGGGCCTATTATTATGGCAATTCGTCCGTGAGTGGTTAAACAATTTAAAGGGCAGGCATGAGGGGCCTTCACAAAAGTCACGTATTCAACGTCCCACTTGATGTTTAAATCTATAAATGATCGAAATAAATTTTCGTGCACATACAGAATGAATGGTTATTGGTTAATAATTTAATATATATGTAGACCAAGCTCTGTGCACGGGATGCTTCCTGGAAGAATCCAGTTCTTTTAGCTTTTTAGCGGGGCACCCTACCTAAAGCCAAATTGAGATATAATAATCATATTCCTAGGAAAATAATCAGAAATCGAATACCAATCAAATAATATGATATATAGGAGTAGTAACCATATATTTACTATGCAAAATGCCCCAACCACACAGTGTAAATTAATATATAATATTCAAATTCCATATCATCATTAAACCTCAATAGTCAATATAATAGCCCAAGCAAAATTCAATAACTTCTTACATACGATACCTTACTGTCATACTACAAATTAATTATACATTTGAATCTGTTAACTAGAGAATAAATTTCTAAACCTAATGCAAGTGAAATAATTTAGATGCAATAATGAATGCCTAATGTGAGTATCATCTGTCAATGTCCTTGTAAAACAGTCTGTACAAGAGATATGAGTAACTAATATAGAAGAAAAAACAGGAAGATGTCGTCTGTTGAAAAATAAATAAAATATCTAGAATATAAATTAGAATATAAAATAACATTCAGTCAATGTGTCGTCAATAAACTGTACAATTATCAAATGTTAAAACTGGGTGATACAGTCATATCACCAAAAATAAATATTAAGTATAATAAGTTAATAAATTAAATTTGGTCTATAAAACTACCACTAGGTATAATAGGTCAATAAATTAAAAGTGGTTTATAAAACTACCACTGTGCGAACCCCTTCTCCAGTTAAAACATGTCAGTCATGTGCAAAATCAATCAGAATGGTAAGGTGGTAAAAAAAGGGAATATCCTTTCGATACATCAATTATATATGCCTCAGATTTAAAAGAATTAGAAGATACTTAGTTATCGTCGACTATGATTGCAGTGTAAAATTTGTCATATGAATTGTCGACGGTATAATTAGGGTCTGTTGTTATAGATGAGAGTAGCTGTTTCTTATACGAATCACTAAAGCTTTTAACATCGGGCAGATTTCGTAGATCTGTTGGAACATTATTCCAACATTTTGCCCCCAAGTATTGAAAGTTTTTATGTGATGTTGATCTATTAACATATAAGTTGCAGCTTTCGCCGCTCCTACTACCTCCTGATATGTAACTAAATTTGTTCATAAAGTTTGTAGGACAATTGTCATGGATGATTCTAAACATATAATTTGACAGATGGAGTTGTCGTCTAAGATGGAGTGGTAACCATTTCATGTCTCTATAAACATTAAGGCTGCTCTCTGTTTGTGGAACGTTGAGAGCTATTTTGGCTACCTTTTTGTACAGAGTGTCAAGTTCAGCAAGTTTTGTCTTGCCAGCTCTACAATAGATCGTGTCTAAATCGAATTGTGGTAACATGAGTGCATTGGCAAACATTTTCCTATATTTAATGGGTAGCAGTGCTTTACTTCTATACATGGCACCAATTCTCTTCATGACCTTCCTAATAATATAATCTACATGGCTTTTGAAGTTTAATTTACTATCTAGAATGAGGCCAAGAGATTTTGTCTCTTTGCACTCTTTGATTGTGAAAGTTACCTCATTACATTCAATACAAACTGAGCTCTTTGTTTTAATATCATTATCAATGTTCGAGGGATATTTGAGGGCCTAAATAGTAAAGGTACGATCAAATGTTATTTCCACACATATGGTTTACTGTTATAATTAAGCAAATCGTCGAGTAAACACAGAGTGTAAACAAATATATGAGACATATTAGAAACACTTAATAACTGGTTTCCTAGCAGCGATGTGATGTAGGTATAATAAGCCCTCACATTCTGTCGGGCCTATTATAATGGCAATTCGTCCGGGAGTGGTTAAACAATTTACACGATTTTACACGATTAAAAAATGTATTTGTTATACTGGAATAATAACAATTTTAAAATATAAAATAAATCACTTCCCTCTGAAGTAGAACAGATGATGGGAGAGCTTCAAACATGGCGATGGAGGGAAGCGGTGTCTCACCGCTGGGAGGTAAATTAATACCCGTATTGCGATGGTAAAATTTTATGATATGAGATCCCAAGTAAAATAACACAAAAAATAAAAAGTGAATGTTGTCAGTGTAGTGAAATCGGAGGCAACATTAATAAAGACGTATACACTTAAACCGTTAATTTAAAGGGCAGGCAGGAGCCTCCACACAAGTCACGTATTCAACGTCCCACTTGATGTTTAAATCTATAATACAAACTGAGCTCTTTGTTTTAATATCAATGTTCGAGGGCTTAAATGGTAAAGGTACGATCAAATATTAATTCCACACAAATGGTTTACTGTTATAATTAAGCAAATCGTCGAGTAAACACAGAGTGTAAAAAAACATATGAGACATATTAGAAACACCTGTGATGTGATCGACAGCTTGTTAGTGTACGGCTAGCACGATCCTGTCCGCAACTGGTCAATCACGTATCGATTGATCAGATCTCAACGGATCACATCAGCATTAGAACAATGGGAGCAACGTCACGAGATTACCTGTGAGCTTGTGAAATACGAATGTGAACCGAAGTTACAATATATAATGATCCGAAATTCGGACAGATGTCGCCAAAAACTGCTCCTGTCCGACAGCGAAATCTGTCCGAAATCCCCAATTCGGCTGTCGGACAGATGTCGCTGCCGGACAGCTGTCGCCCAATAAGAAATTATGCAGGTTAAACCAGTCACAATTGTCGATTATAGATTACTAAAACGTCTGACCTGTTGAACATACTGATATGATAAAACTGATAATATTTCTGGGATCAGGATAGGCATGAGCAGGTTACAGTAAAGTTAAATATCTACAGAAACCGAACACTGTGTTTGCAAGGTTCAAAATATTATGTGCCTTTATACTTATACACAAACAGGTCCGACCGGTATACCTTTCAATTAAATGATATGAAATGCTTAAACAAGACCAAATCCCCTAAAATATACATTCATTCAACTTGCATTAACAATACTAGTATACAGTGCAGATGGCTCTAAAAGCGAAAGCTATCCTATAATCCTACCTAAACAGCAGCAATCAAGGATCGAAATAACTAACGGTAGATCGAGTAGATAAACTAGAATAATTCAAGTTCAAAACCATTACGAATAAAATAGTAATAAAGGTCGATCGAATTTATAATTAATAAAGCTGGATCCAAGTCAAAAGCCACAAACATGTTCTCCGCAAGCATTTCGTATTGGCGACACACAAATATTCAGTACAATCACGTATGGCGCGGCGCTTTATTATGGAGGGAACTGACTGAGTTCCCTTTTGGTTTGTTATTGTTTGCAAAACGGCTATGACCCCCTGTAGCGTCTTCGACGCTACAGGGGGAGCCGCGCACTTCGTGCGCGGCGGGTCATACAACGTATGACAACTTTAAACCACTTTTAATCGATTCTACGGTCAAAAATACGTCTAGTAAGGTGTATCTGGGGTCCCTAGCGTATCGAGCAGACAATGCCCGTAAGAGCCTCTACTAAGGGCAAAGCGTCATATATACGCTACAAACTCAAAAAATGACTGAGTTATGAGCTAAAAAGTATGTGCCCATATTTGGGCCTACGCACTAAATTTGATCGATTTTGGCCCATAAATTTGTCAAATATCAATATTTTTGAATGAAACCAACTTCATATGAAGGGTAAGCCTAAAGTACATATTCTCTATGATTAATAGTCATTGCACATTGATTATCAGCTCAATATCTAACTAACTGTGGATTCTGTGTTCAAATAATCGCAAAAAATGAACAAAATCGCTCATATCTCAGTTCGCGATATTTGCAAAACTGACTTCACTCAAAACAATAGAACTCAATAGGGTTTCAATATTTATTCATGACATTTTCAGAATCAACAGAATCGCCTCATGACCTTAAGTTTTGTATTAAAATTTTGAGTTAGGCCTTAATTTTGAAAATTCCATGAAAATATATTGAAACCCTATAATATTGAGTTCTATCGTTTTGAGCGAAGTCAGTTTTGCAAATATCGCGAACTGAGATATTGGCGATTTTTTGAATACAGAATCCACATTTAGTTAGATATTGAGCTGATAATCAATGATTATTAATCATAGAGAATGTGTACTTTAGGCTTACCCTTCATATAAAGTTGGTTTCATTCAAAAATATTGATATTTGACCAATTTATGGGTCAAAATCGATCAAATTTAGTGCGTATGCCCAAATATGGGCACATACTTTTTAGCTCATAACTCAGTTATTTTTATCCAATCTTAATGAAAATTCATATATGAGTTCAAGGGAC